TTCCCTTTCACTTACAGAAACTTAGGCATACAAACCTTCTATTTCACAAATCATCAGGAGGTTCACAATAGCGCAGAAAGTTCCCTGCAACACTGTAAAAGGCAGAAAGTTACCAAAGTGTTCCACCAAGCACTACTCTCTTCACTTAATTAACAGTTATGCTACTGGCACAAGGTCTCATCTATTTGGCACCTCCTTATTATTCACATTACTCCTCTAACTGTTGGTTCTTCACTCAGCCCAATACACTGAGATAACCTTTAACTCACACCTCACTTAACCCTTTGCTCCTCTCCCCAGATGAAAAGGGTTTCAGGACAGCTGAGCTTCTTACCTGTCCGTTTTATGATTTCCCACACGGCAGCAGCAGTGGCAGGAATTATGGAAGGCTGATCGAGACACAGACGTCCAATATTCATGATATGGAATCCATCCACATCCTTCTCCGGGGCAATGGCGTTGCAAACTCTCCGTTCATCTATGTGATCTGGGAGACACAATGCTCCCAAATTACAGTTCTGGCACTTGGATGGAGTCACCAATATGTCTGAATCATTACAGAGAAACACACACACTTGGACTAATGAGGGTAATTATTGTTCTTCACTGGGAATAGACTACACTGTGCCTCTAAAGGCAGCAGTTACTTTTCAAGTAATCTACTCAAAAGTACACTATGCCATTTGTCACAGTGCTAATCAACAGATTCTGTCAAAATATGAGAGGCCAATACTCAGCTGAGAATGATGACAGGAACCATAAAAAGACAGGTTTAAGCAAGTCACTTCAGGGTCATTCTGCATTCTGGAAGTGGCTCAAAAAAGCCATTGTCCGTGGTACGTGTAAGATCACAAGGGATCATGATCTAAGTATTAAACAAATACATGGAAACCCTAAGCTGAAGTAACTTCGCAGGTCGAGCTCTCATTTTCCAGCAATACAACCATTTTTATTCATCTGGTAATGAGTAGGACCAAAACATATCCTACCTCAACTGCAAAGCTGACAGTACACAAAACTGATACTGATGAGCTCAAAACACTGTCTATGGTTTAAACAACGTTGTCTGCACATATATTGTCAATATCTATTCCTAAGGAACATTTTTCATATGCACTAAAGATATGGGAGAGGTCTGCAACTGCTTAAAGCTTATACTGCATAAACATTAGGACTGACTATGAAAAAATGTTTGCCAGTCCTCTCTCTGCAGAGTTACAAACCCAAGTCTAAAGCCAGCCCAAAGAACAACATGCCAAAGGAACAGCTCCATAAAACATCCCCCACTGATCCAGAAAGCAAACTGTTTAATAAATGTATTTACACAGTGGTACCTCAGTCACAATTCCAGAATCACAATAGTTTGGGTCAGAAGGGACCTTTAAAGGGCATCTACTTCCAACCTCCCTGCAATGACAAGGGACATTATAATCTATTGCTTCACTGTTTAATAACATGTCAAACTGCTTCCAGGATTGCACTTCCTGCTTTATTTCTGCACAACACCAGACAAGGGTTGACTGGCTCAAAACAACCAGGTGGGAAGTGTGTTTGGGGGAACAGGTTGAGCTCTGTACAGGTGGGACGGCCACTGCTCTGCCCTGCCCTCCGTGAGCCTCAGTCAGCCTCTGGTCCAGTCCAGAATGGCAGNATAAAACATCCCCTGCTGATCCAGAAAGCAAACTGTTTAATAAATGTATTTACACAGTGGTACCTCAGTCACAATTCCAGAATCACAATAGTTTGGGTCAGAAGGGACCTTTAAAGGGCATCTACTTCCAACCTCCCTGCAATGACAAGGGACATTATAATCTATTGCTTCACTGTTTAATAACATGTCAAACTGCTTCCAGGATTGCACTTCCTGCTTTATTTCTGCACAACACCAGACAAGGGTTGACTGGCTCAAAACAACCAGGTGGGAAGTGTGTTTGGGGGAACAGGTTGAGCTCTGTACAGGTGGGACGGCCACTGCTCTGCCCTGCCCTCCGTGAGCCTCAGTCAGCCTCTGGTCCAGTCCAGAATGGCAGAGACTGACCCTGGGGCTGCCCCAAAATGGCGGGGACTGACCCAGGGCCTGACCCAAAATGGTGGGGACTGACCCAGGGGCTGACCCAAAATGGCGGGGACTGACCCTGGGGCTGCCCCAAAATGGCGGGGACTGACCCAGGGCCTCGAGAGCCCCCACAACACCAGGGACTGACTCCTTGGGCCCCCCAGGGAACACGGAAGCACAGCTGTGCCTGGGAGAGGCCCCAGCCGAGGGGAGCAGATTAAAGGATGGAGACAGGGGTGTCGAGGGGCTGCTCTGCTCCATTTCCATCTCAGAAGGATTATTTTTTGCATCTTTTACATAACCACATGTCACCCATTCCGGGCCAGATCCCAACATAACCCTGCAGCTGTGAGGCCATATATCCCAGTGTCCCACTCAGAGAGCACTATGGGATGGTTAAAGAAGCCAAATAAAGGCACAGGAGAGTTAATAAGGAAATTCAGACACTGCCAGTAACAACAGTTGAGGGACATAAACACCATGTTTGCATTTAGTCAGTATTTTGTGGTTTTGCATTAAAAGGAGATAATTAATTAAAAGATATCAAGCATGTTATAGAACTTACACACTGTAAACTCCTGTTAGATGATTTTCACTTAAAAAAACCCTGGGGTTACACTCTGACTGCTCTGATTTACAACTTAATTCTCCATTTTCTGAGGAGAGGGAGTTACCTTCTGATTCCTAATGAGAAAGGGTTGTGGAAATTGAGATATTAAGTACACTGATGAAAGAGTCTCCTAGAAGTGAAACTCGCCTCAGAGAGACTGAAAGCAACCATAACCTTGTTTTTATGCCAACCTGGGGAATAAAAAAAAAACAAAGAAGAAGGAAATCTGGAGCAACTTATGAAATGGTTTTTGCAAAAGAGAATTTGCTAACCTTAGGCAAGTCAGGTGTTCATGCAACATAAACCTGGTAGCTTTTGCCTGGGATGGGGGAGAACCCTGTTCTGACAGACACCTTGCCCCTGTCTGTCTTTAGCTTCCCAGGAATAGACAGGTAATAGGCACAGTCATGTCAAAAGGAAAGAAATCATGCTTTACATGGATCGTCTTCCCCACTCAAAACTTGTTTGCACAATTTCAGAAGAGGGCACAGAGGACCTGGAAGAAATGTAGCTGCAGAGCTGGGGACAAGTGGGCTGACGTGGGCCTGAGAAGACAAGATGGGGACACTTCCCAAATTCTGTTGTGGCTGGGCCATCCCCAAACAAACAAACCAACCGACCCAACTCACACTGTAGAGACACTTCTGGGTTATTTAATGGGCAGGTTTTTTTCGCCTAAAGAAATGCACTGTCCTGGTTTGTTTCCACGTGCCTGCACACAGGCACTCTGTTTATTTCCAGAGCAACACAGGTAATTAATTCCTTAATTACCTTACTGTCAGTCTCATGAAACAGCAGCTGATGTCTATACAAATTTCCTCACTGCCACTCCAAGCCACTCTCCAGGCCAAGTTCCTCCCTGCACTAACCCTCTCCCCTGGGAGCTAAACCTGCAGGGCTACACTGGGCATCCCTTGCCCAGCTACTCCAACTTGCACACAGAGAAACTCCTATTTACACAACAAACAACATCTGCCTCTAGTGTTGGCACAGGGAAAATAAAAACTCGCTTGCAAAGGGGAAGACTGATGAAAACAAAAGCACAGCAGAAAAGGACTGGAAAAAATACCACACGGATTTTCATCTTCTCTCTCAAATACATAACATAATACAAAATTGCCATCTACTAGGCAATTCCAAATAAAATACAGGAAAGTTTCCAGAAAACCAGCACCGCATCACAGGCAATGCACTCAAAACATGCACAGAAAGGAAGTTCTCCTCAGGTAAGGATCACAATCCTCACATTTAGGTTGGCAATCTCACAAATTGCAAGAGAACAAAGCTATTTCTGATTCTGTTTTTATCCCAATGTTGATCAAAAGCCACACATCATGTGGTTTACTGAAAAAAACCCCAAAACTAA